ACCAAGATTGTCAGGTGGAATTGGGCGATGATTCTGGCAATACACCTGCACATGATAACAGTAATTCAGCCGACCTCCTGGATCAGCCTCCTAAGACATGTCCGACAGTGATACCGTGACTGAGTCTCATAAAGCCCCATTGGGATGCCGTTAACTGATCCAGGCCCACTTTCAGATGCCGATGGAATCATTTACGATACTGTGGTATCAGAATAACACATATACAGCCATGGCACATGAACAGGTACATGGTCGAACTTTTAATCAGGTATCGATCAAAGCAGCAGCAGGGAGGACTGAATTGGCCTGAATTCACCTTTGCACAAATGTACCGAAAAGGCTCCCCAACACTACATTTGCAGATACCATGCTCATGGAATCGTAACAGAAAAAACGTTTCCACTATCATCGTCGGGGAGCAAATAACTATTGTATACAAGGTCAAAAGTGGACCTGACCCTATATTAACAATCAAGTCACAGAGGTGAAATGGACAAACTCTATCAATACAATGTAATATAATTTTACGGGTATGACGTGGGACGTGGATGAATTGATGTTTAAGGGAAATATGGATGAGCTCTATCTCCCAACAGTTAAAGTTTTGTTTTCTGCTCTATCTGTGGTTAAAACCGGATGAGATAGGAAGGATATGGCAAGTGTTTAAATTCGGTCAAGTGGGGACGCTTTTTATTATCACTCCTCATCTTGACAAACAAGGTTATCCGCTCTGGATCCTCCGGTTCCCAAATACCTATGCCCAACACCAAGGATACTATGCATGTCATTGGGACGAGGAAAGATTAACCCTGTGCCCTACTTTGATATTAGTTCGACGGTTAATCCATGATTTAAAGAAGCGGCCAGACCGAGAAGATCTAGCTCGGTGGCTGAGTAGATAGTATGAGGTGGGGACTCAAGATGTAGTCTTTCGGCCTCAAGGTGGGGACTGTTGGGAGAAGACGGTATCCATATAAAATGGGATTTGAATTTCCCAACAGCGTCATGGGCATATTTTTTTCGGGGATCTTCTATTGTTGATGAGCTATGACCTAAACAAACTCATCACACACGTATGGCAGTTTTGTGTTTTGCACTGCAGTTACAACTGGTGGGCGTGCCGACTCCCCGTGCTGCGCCTCTGGGGATTTAAAGTGCAAGGCCAAGTCTATCACTTATTGGGATCTCTAAACCCTTTGCCTAATGAGTCGCCAAAATTCTTACAGATCATTTTCATGAAGAACCGAGAAGACCAAATGGAAGCAATGTTCTTGGATTGAAGGAAGCATCATACTAGATGTGCAAGACATGCTTCACAACAGTAACACATACGTTCAAGTCTGCAATGAAAGGATGACTGCAGAAGAATATAGAATAATCATCCATGCAGGAATCTAGATACACCAGCTATCTAGATACACAAGCTATGCAATGGCACAAGGTTGGTGGTAAAACAACTGATGACACATATTGGAGGGATTATTATTAGGCTCTGTGTGGAGTAAGGAAACTTGCCCAAGGTTTCGCCCTCTGCCTGGAATTGAACTCAGGTCTCTCGCTTGCAAAACGAGTGCTCTAACCACTGAGCTACAGGACTCCACAGCTTCACTCTTGGCAAGTTCTGCTTATTCATGGGGTACTTGTGTTTCCTATTCTTGAATCCTGTATGCAGTAGCTTGCATTTATTTAGCTTCTCAGTCAATTTGGGCTGTCATCTCCTCAAAAGACCTACCCTTCTTGAACTCAATGTCATCTGATCAAGACCTTCTCTTTGACCATGCCTTCGGTCACCCTCCTTCCCCCACTGCTCTCCACCCTCCCCAATCCTGACCATCCCAGCTCAGGTCCAAAACACTGATTGTCCAGCGCCTTGGGGTGTCCTCCCAATGTGAAAAGCGCTAAACAAATGTAAATTTGTTGTTGTTGACTGTGAGTGTGTGTCTCTCTCTATGTCTGTGAGTGTGTTGTCTCTCTGTGCTTGTGAGTGTGTGTGTGTGTCTCTCTCTGTCTCGAGTGTGTTTGTCTCTCTGTGTCTCTGGATGTTAGGATAAAAAATCCTATGGTTCGAGTCGAATGATCATATTACGTTTGTGGCTAACTGTGTTTATTCAAATAGTGTATGAGTACAGAAAAGAGAAAGCAT